GGGCTGGGGCAGTGCCCTGGCTCTCCCCACGCACGTTCTGGATCTCTCCGAGAGGTTTCCGCTCCGTGCTGGGATCCAAGGGGCTCATTCGGCTGCAGCTCCTCCTGTTCATCTCTTGCTTGCAGATGGTGTCTTCTTGGAGGAACAAAGAGGAAAGAAAGAACCTTCTTAGAACCCTCTCACTCATCACTGAAAACACTGATCATGCCAAATGGCTTTTTGTAGCTTTATTTCTGTGGAATACTCTTTGAAGCTCTATTGCCAATCCATGGCCTCAAGTTGTGCCAGAGGAGTTTGAGGTTGGAGCTGAGGAACAATTTCTTCCCCAAAAAGGTTGTCAAAACCTGTCCCAGGCTGCCCAGGGCAGTGGTGGAGTCCTCACCCCTGGAGGGGTTCCCAAGCCGTGGAGATGTGGTGTGAGGGACACGGGGCAGTGGGGACCTGGCAGTGCTGGGGGACAGTTGGACTTGATGATCTGAAAGGTCTTTTCCAACCAAAAAGATTCTGACTCTAGACCTACTCTCACAGCAACACATGTCCTTCAGAAGCCCCAAGGCACTGCCTGCTGCTTCAAAATCCACCCAGCTTTCCCCAAAGAACCCACCAGGATCACACCTGCCTTTGAGGAGCATTTGAGGCAGCCCTTAAATGTTCTTCAGTTTGATACTGACTGGATCTGCACTATGGACTTTGGGGTCAAACTGTGTACAAAGAAACCAGCTGATGATTCTAGGTCCAAATCTTTAAAGATTTGGTTTCTCAGGTTTTCTGATTTCAAGCCAGAAGTGCTGAACAATTTTCAAAGTCTAGCTAAACTTGGTGTTCAACTTTTTTTTTGAGCAATCTAGTCCTGTACTGCCTATCCCACATCTCAGACATAAACCCCTGTGAGTCACTAAAATCTGTGTTCTAGGACACACAAATTCAGGATACACTGTAGATTTGAAGGCCAAGAGAAAGCCAAGTGACAGGAAGATAAATGGTTTACCTCCAAGTTTAATCCAGACTTCCTCAGGCAAAGCTTTATTCATGGCAGCTACTGTCTGCTTTGTGGATTCAATCTCCTGGTAGCAGAAAGACAATGTCTTGGGCACCCCAAACTCTTGATGTTTGGCAGCTTCCAAAATAGCACAAGAGGTTCCAGAGGTCTGTGAAAACCAAGAAGGAAATACTCTGAGGACTATATACATAAAAAAATGAGACTATTCTGGTATCTTCCCATTAACTTCTGAAGTCTGAGCCCTGTGACTCAACGTGCTGTATCACTAGAGAGCCCAATTACTTCTGCAGTCAAGCAGGGATTTTGACAGACCAATGACTCTTTTGGGGATACCTCTGACATTTTCCAGTGCCATGCTGTCACTCTTGCTTCAGAGCTTACTGCAGGCTGAGGAAGAATTACTTTTCTTCATCATGAATTAGCAAAAAAGGAAGCACAGAAAATGGTACCAAGTGTCTCTGTCTTGCACAGATGAAGCAGATGAATGCTGATAAACTCAAGGAAAAAAAGTCTTTCTGGTAGGAAATTCAGTGGCCTACTGATCATCAATGATCTTGTTCCCCAGACTTGGCACTGAGGAGGTCACACCTCAAATCCTGGGTTCAGGTTTGGGCCCTTCCCTCCCACAAGGACCTTGAGGGGCTGGAGCATGGCCAGAGAAGGGCAACGGAGCTGGGGAAGGGGCTAGAGCCCAAGTGTGGGGAGGAGCAGCTGAGGGAGCTGGGGGGGCTGAGCCTGGAGCAAAGGAGGCTCAGGGGAGACCTTCTGGCTCTGCACAGCTCCTGACAGGAGCCTGGAGCCAGGGGGGGGTCGGGCTCTGCTCCCAAGGGACAAGGGACAGGACAAGAGGAAACAGCCTCAAGTTGCCCCAGGGGAGGTTGAGGTTGTCCCTGAGGAACAATTTCTTGCCCTGGAGGGTTGCCCAGGGCTGTGCCAGGCTGCCCAGGGCAGTGGTGGAGTCCCCACCCCTGGAGGGGGTCCCAAGCAGTGGAGATGTGGTGTGAGGGACAGGGGTCAGTGAGGACCTGGGAACAGTTGGAGTTGATTATGTTAAAGGTCTTTTCCAGTGAAAAGGATTCTACGATTCCCTGGATGCACATTACTACAAACACCACACAATTTATTTGAATAAGGGTTTTTGATGGTCTTAAAGATTAACAAAAGAATAAACTGCATCACAGATGAATGATTCTGATCATCCCTATTGAAACCAAGTCCCACCTCAACACCAACCTTTAGCCTTCTACCACACCTAGGAGGTTTGAACTGTTAGCAGTTGAAATGTGCAGAGTTTGAAGGACGTTTCCTACCTGTGCTTGGGCAGAACTGGCACCTCCAGCAGCAGAGCACGCGTTCATGGCAAACACTGGGTATGGGAACTGTAAAGAAGGGGTGGCAGGAGCTGTCTTATTTTTCCCCAAAGCAGCACACTTGTTCTCTTGCTGATGAAGAGGAACACCTACCAGTTCTGATGGCTGTCGAATCAACGTTACTAAACTTCAAAAAACACAGAAAAACAAAGAAAGCAAACACAGAAAACTTATCAGACCAACTACTGGAAGACAAGTGCAGATAATTTTACAGCTACACATCTAGTCACTATCACCAAGAAACCACTTTCACTTACTGCAAACTAAAATCACTTTTATCACCACATTGCCTACATCAGGGACAGAAAACAATCAGCTAGTCAAAAATCAACATTTTATTCTGTGCAGGAACAATTCAGCTTTAGGCCTGAATAAGATGTTTCATCAGCACACTAAGAGTTACAGTCCCAGACCATAGCATAGTAATTTTGCTCAAAGCTTCCCCCACAGTCAGGCCTCCACATTAAAACACCCATCAATTGCTCTTAATATTTATCCTGTTCAAAAATCTATGTTGCTTTTAGAAAATTGTATATTAAAGCTAAAGTTCCTTTCCCACCTTTATCTACACGTTGTTATTAAGAATAAAGTTACAATTAATTTGGGAACTACACACTGTGCCATTTACACAACACAGAGGGGCCTCACCTGAGGTCAGTGGGATCGTGGCCACGTCAGACAAGCACATTTTAGAGAAGCCCAACCCACCATTCTCACATTTTAAACCACTATTGCTCTTAGGTTTTGTCTAGAAAATCAGCTTCGAACCACATGAGGACACAGAGTTTAACAACATAAACTAAAATGAATTGCAACACACTTGTTAAGAGTTACTCCAGATTCTTGGGGTTCTTGACATCTGGGGTGTTCTGTCTGGATGCTGTTGAATCTGTCTTCCAACCGAACTCTGACTGCAGATTTAGGCCTCGGCTCTGGTGCCAGTGCCAAATTTTCAACAAGTATGTTTCCTTTACTTGTCCCAGCAGCATTTTCATCATGTTTAACTTTTACTAAACTGTGTCCTGGGACTTCTACAGAGCCACTGCTAGGTGTTCTATCTGTTTGGTTCAAAGGGAGGTTAGACTCGCTCAGTAACATCATTCTGAGCTCCTGGAAGTCAGCATAGCCCAAACGTGGGTTTGAACTTAGCAAGCTGCCATCAAGGGGTAATCCTGGCTGGCAGATAACTGGGTAAATCAACTGGTTCCCAGAGCTGTTTGAGGAACAGCCCTCCTGAGCGGCGTTCAGTGAGGTCTGGAGCACAGAGGGGTCTGCAGAATTACCAGGCAAGGAGAAAGAACTGAGCCTAGCTTCCACCTCACCTCCACCAGCTTGTGCCTCCGCATGCGAGTGCAGAATGTGCTGCAGCTGGGTGTACTCAATTTCCATCAGCTCCACCAGGCTGACGTCTGTGGTGGTGAAGCTAAGGTTTTGCTCACCAAAGGAAAGGTCACTTGAGCCTCCAGGTCCGACAGCAGCGGGAGCAGGAGCAGGAACACTAGCTGTGCTTTCGAGGATGGAGGTCTGAGGCTCCTCTGGGGCTGATTCTGACATGGCTACAGGGAACCTAACCTGTTACCAGTGTCTCTTCCACCAGTAAAGCACAAAACCTGCGAGAACGATCAGCACTAGCC